GACGTCCCCCACAGCGTGATCCCCAGCCCAGCCGCACCCCCCAACACTCCCCCACAGCGTGATCCCCAGCCGCACCCCCCGACGCCCCCCACAGCACAGTCCCCAGCCCAGCCGCACGGGATCACTGCATCCTAGTAGGAAGCAGACCCCAAGGCCCAGGGATACGGCTTGTCAGTGCATTGCAGCTCTCCAGGCTGGTGCAGGACCATGCTGTGACTTTGGTGGGCCTGTGCAGACCTCATCCTGTGGAATGCCAGTGCTCCTGCTTCTGGCCCAATTCACCCATTTCCATGAACCTCCAGAACGTTTCTTTCTAAGATCTGCTTTAGCTCAATCAGAAGCTCCAGGCTGGCTGCAGGAATCCCTGGGTTAGGGTCTGTGGCCTGTGTGGTCCCAGAAGTCAGACGGGATGATCAGAATGGTCTTTCTAGCCTTAAATTCTATGACTCTCTGAGAAGTTTCGGGTCTGGGTTTGACTTTTTTTGGGTCATGGTCCCACTTGGCTGTGGCTTGAGACAAACTCACCTGCTACTCACTGTCACAGAGTCCCCGGGCGATGCTCTGGACCTGCGCCCCACAAAGCCAGTCACTGAGGCACCCACACAGTATTCAGAGGAAACATTAAGAACAGTCCCACTTCGTCACACTCACCAGCTCCCGCAGGGCCGCACAGGGAGTGAGACGTTATTCCAGCCTGTAACGTGCTCTGAGGCCCTCAGCTGAATGGTGCTGGGGAAGCACAGAGGGTCATTAACTAACACATGACACGACTGGGAAAGGGCCGGTCCCGCTCAGAGAGAGTGGGAAGCTCCTACTCCTGATTCCAGGCTGCTGCGGCTTGGTAGGAGCTGACATGGTCCCCTCACCCCCACCCTGAGGAACACACCTTCCTGGGGACTAGACACCACACAGCCAAGTTCCTGGGGGGATATAAAGGAAAGGATAAAACCAGCAGCCAGGGTTCAGCCACATGGGGCTGGCCCCAGCAGCTTCCTCCCAGGCCCACAGATCTGCTGCTTTCCCAACCAGGAGAACAGCAAGACAATCTGTCCTGCCCAAAGACTTCCAGCCACGCCACTCTCTGACAAGAACCCTCTTCCATCCAGCCGCGTCTTTTCAGTTTTTGTCAGGGTCTATTATAGCTGAATAATGCCGCCATGTAACAACATACCCTCCGGTGCACGCTGCGCACGGCTTTCCAGCAGGAGCCAGATTAATCACAGAGAATAATTACAACGCTACGGGACACTTACACAGTCACACAAACGCCATCAAACTGGCTCAATGGCAGACGCTCTTTGGGCGATAAAACCAAAGCAGGACAAGTTCTCAGCAGGTAAATGCCTCCCAGGAATCCAAACACCCTGCAGGTTATTCGCTCTCGATGCTTCCAGCTTAGGGGGCTACGAGTCCACCTCCTGGGGCTCCTACCCCAAGGGAACAAGACAGAGACCACCCTGTACCCACCAC